AATAGGTCTAAACTAAGCGAGTGCCGTTCTAGATAAATAATTTCCTACGTAGAGTACCTTTTCGACTAGGTCTAAGAGTTTTATAGGGTAAAACCGGTAGTAGGCCTTAAGTTAGGTAAGAAAGTCTCGAAGCGTGCTATAAGTACTATCGAATAGTCCTAGCTATTTTAGTTTAACTACTTCTCCGAGGTCCCTAACTTATCCGTTGCCTCCTTTATTCCTAAGTAACTATACCTTATATTAAAGGGTAATAATCTCGCGCATTATATCCTAAGGCGATATAGTAGCTCTAGAGTTAGTTAATCTAGCTTACTATATAGGTATATTAATAGTTACGATATTACTTAGAGTAACGCGGTATTATACTAAATAAGAGCTTTTAACGTATAACGACCGGTGTTATTCCTAAGGGATAAACCTATTAAGGGGTTTATATTAGTAGATATAATAGGGCGTAGTCTAAGTAATAATAAGTATATTACGTTAGTAATAAGTCGGAGGTCGTAGACCGTAGACTATAACTAGGTAATTAGAATTAGAGATAGAATCGTAATAAAGATCTATATTAAAAGCTAGAGAGCTATCTATCTAAAGGAGTAAAAGTAGGTGGCTATATATACCTATAGAGACTGTCCTTAGATTATAGGCCTAGCTATAATCCCTAACGTTAGGTCGTATAGAGCGTAGTAATCCTATTAATCCTAGATTACTTAGATCTTTACGATCCCCTCGATCCTATATCTATTAGATAGTCGTGCCGACTATTTATCCGTTAGACCGTATTACGTGCTTAACGCGGTCGACCGTTAGTAGCCTAGTAGCCGTGGTCGTAATACTAATAGTATAACTAAAGCGCTTATATACTAAAAGTATTAAAGCTTTATTAAGTAATTAAGGCTAGTAATATAGCCGGAAAATATATTAAGAGATAATATACCTAACTATTATATTAAGGTATAATATCTCCTTACTATAGTAAACTTAATAATCGCTAGATCTTAATAATAATAGTACTATTATATATACTAAGATTAAGGGATTCTAATAATATAGTTAGATCTTAATTTAGTTAAGGAACTATAAAGATCTAAGGGTTAAAGGCTAACCTTATTTACTACTAAGAAGTAAAGCTATTACTAAACTACCCTTTAAGTAGTATAATACTATAGCGCTTAAACTTATAATAATTATAATAGCTTTGCTAAATTAAAACTAATTAATATAAGGAATATATTATTAAAAAGCCTACCTTTAAGATTACTTTTATCTTAAAGAATAATATCGCTAGTAAAGGTACTATAGTACCTAGGCTACTTAAAGGGATGCTTTATTATTTTCGTAAAAAGAGATATAAGAAGTATATAAAAAATATATAAAGGTAAAATTAAAAGTAAGGGGTCGGATAGGTAGGGTAGAGAGATTTAATTCGTATAGGGGTAGTAATAAAAGTAAGGGAGTAATTCTTATATTACCTTAAGTCTCCTTCTTTCCTTTATTTAACGCCCCTCTTTATACCTGTTTAGTATCTTAATTAATAAAGAAGATCCTACTTAAAGAAGCTACTAATATCCTTTTAACTACTAATCTTTTTACCGGTTTTTCCCCTTCTTTTTAGCCGTTGCCGGCTTATCTATCTTATCTCTCGCTACCTTTATAAGAAGCTATCGCTACTTCTACTTCCCTTTATACCCCTACCCTCCTTTCTATACCTCTTTTTAGCCCCTTCTTCCTTCTTTTATACTAAGTGTTTTTAGCTTCCTTAGTCCTTCTTACTAAGGGATATCTCTAAGAACTATAAAATTAAGCTATACTTCGCGATAACTATACCCCTCCTTATAAGGAAGGTTATAAATATAACTTATAACTACTAGTTAAACGGTAAGAGTAGGTTATATAACCTTATTAATTATAAGTTTAACTCCCTTTAAAGTAAAAGAGTAGGTTATATAACTACGTACTAAGGGGGGCGCGGGTAATAAACTTAGAGACCTAAGGGGAGAGGAAATAAAGGGCTTTACCTTATATCCTCTCCCTTAGGTCCTAGCTTTTACCTTTTTATATATACTATTCTTTTTACCTAGCCCTATAATAGCTATACCCCTTATAAGAGGGGTTAATAATAATAGCCTTTAACTACTAAGTTAAGTAGTAAGAGTAGGTTATATAACCCTAATTAACTAATATATTAACCCTCCTTAAGTAAGAGGGGGCGGCTAGTATAATATACTTATATAGTATAGAGTACTAGCCGCTAAATAAACTTCCTTTTTATTATATTTTATAACGACTAGTATTATTCTTAAATAATAAACCTATTAAGGGGTTTATATTAATAGATATAATAAGGTATAGTTTAAGTAATAATAAGTATATTACGTTAGTAATAAGTTAAAGGTTATAGTCTATAGACTATAACTAGGTAATTAAGTAATTAAAATTAGAGATAAGATCGTAATAGAGATTATAATAATTATAATATATTAAAAGCTATCGAGCTATTTATTTAAAGGAGTATTCTATTCCTTCCTTATATATCTTAAGAGCTTCCTTAGATCGCCGAGAGTACTAGGTAATCCTATTACCTAAGAGCGCTAAAGCGCTAAAGTAATCCTACGATCTTAGCTATAGAGCGTTAAAGCGCTAGAGTAACCTATTACTTTAAACTTAATTAGCCCGTCGGTCTATTTAATATTCCTTACTCTCTAAGTTATATATTCTCGTAATATATACTAGTCCCCGCGGTTTACTAAACTATAGTTATAATAGGATGCCTCCCCTCTTTTTAGTTTTACCCTTAAGACCTACTACCTTAGCCGCTATATATAAATATACCCTTATTGCGTTATATATAAGTATATCGTTCCTTATTCCTTTATCCTTTTAGGATATACTACTAATAGTATATTTAGTTATATTTAAAAATCCTATTCTTATAATTTTAATAAATCGCGATAGCGATCGGAGCTAGTATCCTAGACCGAGATCTATAGTATTAAAATTATACCTTGCTCCTATTATTTTTAGTTAGGCCTAACCTATAAGGTCGGCGAGCGTTCTAATCGGTATTATTAAATATACCTTTATAGGTCGTTTTTATAATAGTTATAATATAGCGTCCGCCTATTTATTTTATCCCTTTCCTTTCCTATTATTCTTTTTACTAATATTCCTTCTTTTTTAGTTTATCGTATTATAAATTAATAGTAAAAGATTAATTTAAATAAATGGAAAGTAAAAGAAACGTTAAAAGAAGCGATAGCTCGCTTAGCTCGGATTAGGAAATAAAAGCGTTTCTTAAAGGACTAAGGTAGTAAGTGATTTTAGCGGGGTATATAAGCTATTAATAAAGAAGATAGTATAATACGTTCTTTTTAAGATAAATCGGTTCGTTTATTAAATAAGGAAACTATTACTATTAGTAAGGTTTAATCGTTTAGTACCTTAGATATATTAAACTAAGATACTATTCTTAGTAACCTTATATTTCTAAGTAAGGGTTTACTTAGTAGAACTATTTCTTTTAGTTTATATCCCTTTTACTTAGTAAGGTATTCCTATTACTAACCTTATTTTCTTATATTTAGTATTTATTTAGCTTTATATTTTTAATTATTATTAACTTTAATTTTATTATATAGTTTAGCATTTTATAGTACTAGTTTTAATAATACGATATAAAATATTAAGTATATCCGTATTATTATTAGTAGCAAAAGTTTATAGTTAACTTTTAAAATAGTTTTCTTAACCTTAAACGGTCTAAGTTTCTTAAAATTAAATTTATTACTTAGTCGTTTTATTTTAATAATTTATCGTATAAGGTAGACTATATCTCCCTCTTAAAAGATTAGTCCCTATATTCTTTTCCGATTATAGTATATAGATATTTATTCTTTAATAAATTAAAGTTCTTATTATATTTCTTTATATAATTTTTATAGCTAATCTACTTATAATATCGCTTGTTTTACTTATAGTCCTTATTAAGTAACCTTAAATACTTCTAGGTTATATCTATAATTAGCGTATACTAGTAAGAGCTTAGTTATTTCTATAACTAAGCTATTATAAGCTAGTTACGTTATTAGTAGCTATTTAACTTAATTGTTTTATTTATAGCTAATATAGTATCGTAAATATTATTTAAGCGTTTAGTTAAGTCGTTTTATTTATCTATCTATTTATAGGTAATAAGCTATACTAAGCTTAAATTTCGTCCTTATTATATTATAAGAGCTTACTAAAATTTAGCTATAAATATACTTTTTTTATTAAAGATAATCTTATTTAGTAATTTATAATTACTAATAATAGTTTATAAGAATATATATACTAGCTCTTCTATATTACTTACTTCTTTATATAGTAAAAAGTTTCTATACTTTATTAATCTATTAGTAATAATAAATATATTATTATACTTAACGTTAGTTATAGGTTCTTTTAATAGTAATAGCTTTATAATATAGTTAAAAGCTATTAATTCCTATAGCTTCTCTAGTACTAATAGCGGTTATAACTCTCTATATAGCTTATATTATTTAGCTTTACTTTATATATGATGGTAGGCACCTATGTGCCTACAGATACGCATGCGCACAAGCTGTAGGCTGAGTCACAGTCACGACAGGTAGGGTAACCGGTGATGACTTCAATTGTAACTAACTAGGGAAGAGGAAGCTATTCACAAGAAACGGAATGTGCACCTGGTAATGGGGGCATGCAGCCGGGGCTGCGTGCCCTGATCGCGGGTAGGGTGTCACGTGGAGTCGTGCATGAACCGTGATGGTATCCCGATTGCACGGGTTACTCAGCAGGTTAGTATTCCAACACAGGCAGTCTTTTCTTTTCGTGATGGAATCCGAAGACTGCCGTGCCTGCCCTTCATTCCGGTCTCAATGAAGGAGGCTCGGCATCATGGAGTCGTTTGTCGTTAGGTGGTGTCTGCGGTCACGGGTCGTTGTACATATCCTTCCACTCGAATCGTCAGCCTGTTCGTCTCAATCAACCGTTCCAAAGCACGGTTGGGTGCTGCTGGTCATCGCATCAGCCGGGTTGTCATCCCCATTGATCCAACGGATCTCTGCCATCTCGCGCTGCTCGTAGGACTGCCTTAGCGCCATGATATCAATCATGAGTCGCTTCTCTTTCGTGGTCCCGAGCTTTACGAGGCATTCGTATAGCGAGTATGAGTCGGTGCAGACAATGAGGGGAGTCGGGGGTAGGTCCAGCTGCTTGACAATAGCCTGCAGGGTGGTCGCGATGACAATGGCCATATCGAAACCTTGGACCATGCCGTAGATCTCCGAGGCTAGCACGCTCCGGGTCACTCGCTTGCTCTTCGTAGATGACCAGTGCAGGACATTGCCTCTGATCGTGAAATCAGCAGGGCTCTGTTCCTCGTTGGCGAGCACAATAACAAAGCCCAGTTGTGAGCTTAGGTCTTTGTTGTTCGCGAACGAACCGTCCGTGAATACCATTAGCTTCGCAGTCGAAAAGGCCAAGGGAACATAGCGGAGTCCTCGTTGCAGGTTGTCGGTCTGCCATTGTATCCGCTTGTTCAGGGTCTTGTAGTCCGGGGCTTCCGGCTGCTGCACTTGTGCTGCGACTGAGTAGTCGAACGTGGCCTCGGGCTGGCAGATTGATGCGATATATGCTCCGCGCGCGCGCTGTTGGGCGTATTGCTGCGCGCGATCCGTGGAGGAGAGAAAGATGGTGGCTAACTTCTGGCCTTGGCCCTTCTGCTGGATGATAAGGTCGTCTTTTTCGGCTAGAAGTGTGCAACCATTAAACTCGAGGAGTCGCGGCCGATAGCTGGCTCCTTGGTTTCGAGCGGAGCTTAGCCTTCTGGATCTCTCTTCTTCTGCGGCCGCGAACTCAGGGGAGGCGAGGAGGAGGGTGTCATCCGTCTGCATAGCGACCATGCCGAAGCCGGCGGCTTGATCATTGGAGATCAACAAGCAGGGGTCAAAGGTGGAATGTGTCATACCGAGGCGCTCACGATGATGCCTATAATATGTCACGAACCAATGGAGACCTGACTCTGCTATGCCATACAGGGGAAGGATGACATGGATGATGGTGTCTGGGGGATAGCGGGGCACTAATTCCGCTGGGAGGCGTGCGAGTATCGTACGATTCAGGGGGGTTTTGGACTGAATATATGCTTGTGTGATATCACGCAGGAAGACGGAGGCTTCACCTGCGAGGAGGGCAATTGAGAGGAGTAGCCGCTGTGCTGCCCGTTGCACGGTCGGCGACTGGGTAAGGATATTCCCTTTATCACGATCGTTATAGCCTTGAATGACGAGACGGGATTTCTCGTAGGGCCTTGTGGTTGGTCCGAGTCCTTTAACTTCGCGGACCATGCGTGCTTTAAAGAGTCTTTGGCCTTTGTGGGCCACGGGGTCGAAACGAATGAACTCAAACACACCCTGTGCGATTAGGTTGTTAATCTCTTGGGTATCGGACTGTTCAAAGGGGGCACCTGGTGTGGTGATGTGGCCTTCGCGGCGCAATTGAACAGCGTGATCATAGTGATTAACTTCCTTCTTTGACAGGTTGGCTACGCCGGTCTTGGGCTTGTTCTTGGAGCCTTTGGGGCGTCCTCGTCGGCGTTGTTCAGGTAGGAGCACAGGGGCAGGGCATCATCTTGATCGGGGTTAGGGGTGCATTGGGGTCGACTCGTCGGGATTTGGCTGCGAGTCGTCGTGGGGTTGTGATGAGGGGCCTGAGGATCACGGTGGTATTTCTTGACCGCTGTGATCCTGAAGTTGCGGGGCCATTGACATGATTGATTGTTATTTCGTGGCCGTTATTGCCGATAACGATCCACGGGCCGGTCCAGCCGTCAGCCTCTCTCACACGAGGACCTCGCTCTGCAGGAAGCTCTGCAGCGCGCTCTACATTTGGTCCATTCCTCGTGTTGAGGGCATCTCTAACCTGACGGGCAGCGGCAGCACGGTGCAGAGCTGCCATGGCTTTCCGAATAGCCTCTGCGCGCTTGATCATAGGGGGAGAGGGCGGTGAATCGTGGTTGATTCGTGGGTATGCGCCGAAGACGAGGAGGGTAGGGACAAGGCCATCCGGGCCGGCTGTGTCATTGACTGCCTTTACAGCCATTTGGAGGAGGGCATCTGGGCTTCTCGACTCACCCAACTCTGCTTGGAGGATATCGTAGGCGCGGCGGAGGGCCGTGTGCCTTTTCTACCTTTCCAATCGAGTTGTGGGCTTCGATAGGCACCTGCCTGCAAGTGATACCCATCAGCGATGCCTCTTTTTGGAACTCCTCTGCTGCAAAGTTAGTGCCGGCATCGTGGCGCATAAAGTCCGGGGCCTTGGTAGGTGTCTATCCACACCATCCGTAGCGTTTCCCAGGTGTCTCGGGCGGTCATCGAGGGAGGAACCTGGCGCCTTGGAACGCTGTGGCTTCGTCGATCACGTGTAGCACAGGCTTTCCGCCTATTTGGACTACATCCGCGGTTATCTCGAAATTGAACTCGCGGTCGTCTCTAAGGGTAAACCTGAAGCGTTGGGGAGGTGCCGTTGATTTGACAGTGGTGGCACATCCTCGTGATCTCACGGATTGACTGCTCATCAATATCATCATGCCCGGCACATCTAAGCAGTCGGTGGAGTCTAGCTGTGGCCGGGTGACCGAATCGTCGGTGAAGTCGTCGCAATTCGCGTTCGGTCAGGAATACTCGCAGTCTCTTCTTCACCTAGATGGAACCATGCGTGGCCCCACTTACGTACTGCGGGAACGCGAATGTCATCGCGGACGACTTCGTTGGTCTGATTGTTGAAAAACAAGCCTAGCCGGTACATATCGGCTAGGAGAGGAGGAACGGGGTCTTAGTGGGAAGAACGTGGAAATCAACGGGCCCGAATGCCGTGCGAATCGCGGTCGCACCGACAGACACAATCCGGGGTCCATCTCCAAGGAGATGCCTGCCTGGCCTGCGCGGGTGGTATCGAGGGTAGCGCAGTGGTCTTCGCGCTGCCAGGCATGGAATTGGTCTAGGCCAGCGGTTGAAACGTCGGAAGCACCTGTGTCGAGCATGATGCCCTGATAACGCGTTGTGTAACGGTCATCGACAAGGAATTGTTGTGCCGGGGCCTTTTGAGGAGCGCTATAGGCATCTTCCTTAGTCAGACGGTGTAAAACAGCGTAATCTGCGAGGAATGGTTGCGTGAAGAACAGCGAGCCAATCGCTGGGTCTTCATCGTCAATTTCATTGGCAGTATCATAGTCAGGGACAGGGTCTCGTCAAGTTCATGACCTTCGAATTCGGCGAGGAACATGGCGAAGTCCGGGGTCGTGTCGGAGGCATTGTGGGCATTAAGGAAATACATCCGTGATTGTTTCCGTTCTTCTATGGTATGCTTGGTAGACCAACAGCCAGCTTTGCCGCAGATGAAGCACGCCTTCTTTCTCTGCGGCTGTCGTTTGGGGTTCGCGCTGTTATTGTTGCGGAAGGGGGGTCTATTCTGTTGATACTTGCGGTCGGTATACAGTGGGGGGACAAAAGTTCCGGTCAATGACGCTAGCGCGTCGCGTACGCGCGTCTCCCACATTCCAACCCTTCCTCTTCAAATCACCATCATGCCTTCAAAATGAGCCCAATTACGCCCAAAAAACACTGGAGCCCTCATAAGAGGACGAAGATTGTGACCCTCTTTGATTGCGGCTTCTCAGCTGCCCTCGTCGGCGTCAAAGAGGACGTTTCTCCTAGAGCTGTCTACGGAATCGTCAGGCGTTACAGGACACAGTCGAGTGCGAAATCTTTGCCGCGCTCTGGGAGACCCTCAAAGCTCAATGACACCCATAAAAGATATATCTTTCGATGCATCGCGAAAGACCCTTTCATCTCGAATGCTCAGCTTCTTCGTGAGGCTTCTCTAGAGTGTTCTACACGTACTTTAACACGGTACCTTCGACACCATGGCATACAACATGTACGCGCTCTTCGACGTCCAAAATTAACAGAAGAACATGCTGCAAAGAGGCTACAATTTGCACTACAATACCATCAAAAGCCAGCTTCCTTTTGGCATACATGGATTTTCTCTGATGAGACGTCAATCGCTCGTGGGGACGGCGAGAGACAGAAGTGGGTTTTTTGCAATTCAGTACGTCTTAATACCCTTACTTCAAAAATCCCTCCTAATTGCAAAAAGGGGGATAGATTAAATCCGAAAACGTACAAGCAAGAGGAAAACCTACTCGACATTCCCAGATGTTTTGGGGCGGCTTCTCCTTTAATCGGCGGACTTCTCTTACACCAATGCTAGGAGACCCCGACTCAGCCCGTGGTGGCGTTACTGCACGCCGTGTGCTCGAGACCTTACAAGAAAGCCTACCTACAATTGCAGAGCCAGGCTATACATTCGCCCAAGATAACGCCTCAACACATACGGCGGCCATTGTGCAGGCGTGGCTTGGCTGCTGGGTCGAAGAAAACAGGGTAGATTTGGTCGACTGGCCGCCATATTCACCTGACCTAAACCCCATAGAAAACGTATGGAAGCTGCTTAAAGAGAGCATTATGGAGACTCACCCTGAGCTCTCAGACCTTCCAAAGAACTATAGCTCCAAGCAGAAGCTCTGTTTTGCAGCGGTTGGAGCGTGGGAAGACCTTGAAGAGGATACCCTCAATCACCTAATAGAATCAATGCCTCGGCGCCTTCAAGCTGTTGTGGCTGCACGTGGCTGGTATACCAAATACTAGCCGAAACAACAATAATCTCCACTCAATTCTCTATATATTTATATCTTCGGCTTCATAATTGACCTTCATTTGGCAAAGTAATGTGCTGTTGAAAAGAGGGCTCTGATGCGGCGTTGTGGTGGGTGGGCCGGATTGACCGGAACTTTTGTCACCCGACTGTACCATTGGGTGCTACCGTTGTCCGTGATCGCAAGTTCAATAGAGGCGCGGAGGTCGGCAAAGAGTTGTTCGCAATGGGCGGGGGCTTTGTACAAGGCTTGCTTGAGCTCAGGCGTTCCACGGCAAGCGCGGATGACTGCGTTGCGGAGGTTGCTTTCGCCAGCTATTTCCGGCCCAATCGCTCGTTGACACAATTGGAGCTTGTCAAGCATTATATCAAGCACAGCGTGGAGGTCCTTGTCACTGTGCTTGCTACGGACACTGTTGAAGGTGATAGTTGACCAGTCCGTATGGTAATGCTCCAGATTCACGTTGGTATCGAAATGTTGCTTAAGTTGTCGGTAAGCGGCGGCGAACGTGAGGTCTGGGTCAAGATAAAGGTCATAGTAGGTCTTTGCTCGACCTGTAAGGGCGCGGGGGAGAAAGGCGTGTAGCTGACTCTCGGGGACTTCAACCGAACGGCAGGTGGTTAGGAAGTTCCTGATCTTATCGTCAAGGAGATCGTAAGGTTGACCTGAGTAGGTATCTTCCTTATTCCAAATCTTGACGAAGAGGGCGAGAGTCTGGGCATTGGTCGGGGTGTTCGGCACGTCTCGTGGTGGCAATGTGCGGTATGGGGTGTATTGTGGCGGATCTGACTTGGCTCTTGGGGGAATCGCCACTGAATTGGGGTAGGTAATAGGGAGCTGGTGTTACCTGGGAGCTATCCTTGTGCGGTGAGGAAGGTGTAGCTCGTCGGAGCGTTTGTAAAAGCGGTTGGGGTGACGGATTGAGTGGCCTGCTGGACAGGTTGTACAGGCGGTTGAATAGGTGGTGAGAGGGGCAAAGGGATCGCTGCGGGCACGGGTTGTGCTCCTTCGTCGATGGAGGTGACCGGGGTATCCTGGGTTTCCCAATATTCTTCGGTGACGAGGAAGCGAGAAGATAGTCATGTCGGCATCTTCTCAAGGGCCAGTGATCACTTCCTTCGTACGAAGATAGTTGACGAATGCAGCTCGAATCGTTGGCTCAATCCTTCCGAAGAGTGCACTATTCCATCCTTCGAAGTGCTCTTGGAACATAATAAGAGTGTCGATTCTCCCTACATTGGCTCTCTCATAGTCGGTCCACGCACGGGCGAGTTGTGTGATCAGGTGGCGTGGCGTTGGCTCTTCCTCTGGGTTCACAGGGGTATGCCAGAGGATAGGTCAATGTCTGACAGGTCGATCGGTATGCCAGTATATTTGTCCAGCCATCCTTGCACTCTCTCCTGGCTTGGGGATCGCGAGCAATATAGATAGTAGGGACGGGGTATTACTACTGCCTCCCGGGGCACTGCTGCTAGGTCCTGCAGACATAGTGTCGGAGGTGAATGGTAGTAATCAATTGTACTGATTAAAGCACAATCGCGAGGAGTCGGAATGCGTTGCTGACGCAGCTAAGCTATGTCTTTTCCTTTCCTTCGAACGGTCGGTGAGTTGCTCGGCGGAACGGCAGTTAGGAATAGCAATAGGTTAGCCGTAGGTTCTGCTTCTTTCTTCCGAACGGCACAGTGAGTTGAAGGCGGATCGGAATAAGGAGTGTCTCCTGCTCTTAGCACAAACTTGTCGTCTTCGAACGGTCGGTGAGTTGCTCGGCGGAACGAATCACGGAGTTTGTCTCTTCTACCCGTAGAGGAAAGTATCACTTTCTCCGAACGGCACGGTGAATTGCAGGCGGATCAGATCGGTGACTCTTCGTCTACCTTGCTGCTCTGTGGCTCCTTCGGGACCTGGAACCACTGATCAGTGATGGTAGGCACCTATGTGCCTACAGATACGCATGCGCACAAGCTGTAGGCTGAGTCACAGTCACGACAGGTAGGGTAACCGGTGATGACTTCAATTGTAACTAACTAGGAAGAGGAAGCTATTCACAAGAAACGGAATGTGCACCCGGTAATGGGGGCATGCAGCCGGGGCTGCGTGCCCTGATCGCGGGGTAGGGTGTCACGTGGGAGTCGTGCATGAACCGTGATGGTATCCCGATTGCACGGGTTACTCAGCAGGTTAGTATTCCAACAATATATAAAGTTTATATTTTTTAATAACTTATTATACTACTTCCTTAAGCTATAAGAAGTTATATTATCGTTTAATCCGTTCTATTATTCTTTAGATTCTATAGTATCTATATATCGGATATTTATATATATCTTATATAACTTTATCTCGTAATATTAATAGTATCTAGATTTTATTTTTATATATTAAAACTTCTAAGTATTCTATATTATATCCGTTTAGTATTTTATACTCTTTTATTTATTTTAGGATCTTTTAGTATATTAAGTTATTAGGTTATACCTTAAATATTATATTTAGCTATTATTACTAGTAGTTTTTATTTTCGTTAATTTCTAGGAGCTATCCTTTTACTAGAAGTGCCCTTATATTATAGTTACTTTATCGACTAAGGGTATTAGCTTAACCGTTTTCTATTCCTTTTTTATAGATTATTTCGTAGTTAAATTCTAATAAGTATTTAGCTTATTAGATCTATTATCTATTTAACTATTATATTATTATAAAGTATAAGATATTCTTATAATCTATATAGACCTTAATTTTATATTTACTTTTAAGAAGGTAGTATTAAAACTCCTTAAAAGCTTAAATAATTATAAGGAATTCTTTATTATAAATAAGGTAATTAAGTTCTATACTATATAGCTTCTTCGAATAGAATATAATTAGTTATAGTCTTCCTTTATTATCTTTTTATCCGATTTATACTCTTAAAGTAAAGTCTAATATATTAGTTTTAAGTTTAATTTATCGTTTTAGATCGAAGGTAGTTAAGACTAGTTCTTATATAATTATAGTCTTAATATATTTAAAAGCTTTATTAGCTTTATCTATTATAACTACGGTTAGCGGGCTATAAGAGAGCCAGCTATATTTATATAATAAGGCGGCTTAGAATAATAGTTAGGACGAGAAGTTACTTAAGCTTAGCTTACTTAAAGTATATATAAGCTAAGTAAGCCTTATATAAATAGATTACTACTTAGGAGCATAGCTTATAAGTAAGCTATAGTAAGCTACGAAGGGGATTATAGCTAGGACCGTAATCTAAGGATAGTCTCTATAGGTATATATAACTACTTACTTTTACTCCTTTAAATAGATAGCTTAATAGCTTTTAATATAGA